ATGTCCTCCCTCAAGCCCTGCAAGCTGTTTGGCTCATCCAAACCCCACTTGCCCTTCTCCTGATTTTCCTTTGGGGACCACCCCACCTTCAGACCATCCAGATTAGGCAAATGCTGACAGCGCCCTTCCAGGCTGGGAAGGGAGCTATGGAGAGAGAGGGGCTCAGTTTAAAGTGGCGCCCGGGGGCGGTGGCCGGCTCGCTACACTGTGGGCGGAGCCTGCCTGACAATGAAGCCAACACAGGGGACCTGGCCCAGAGGTGGAGAGAGACAATGACATCATTGGAGCCCCTGGATCCAGCCATGCCTCAAGTCAAACCCCTGGTGGCTTTCTGTCCCTTGCCTCCATTAAGAGTCCTAGAATTCCCAATTCCCCTGATTGGACCTTCTGCAGCTACACAATGACTCCGTGTACTCGATCTTTCCTCAGTCCTCACGCTCCACATCCCAGGCACAGCTCCTCCACCTGACGGTCCCTCCTCTACTCTCTTAGGAGCGGTGGCACTTTCGGGCTCTGCTGCTGCTGCTGTCAGCCTCCCCAGCCCTGGCCCTGCCTCAGGCCTCTGCCCCATCTGGGCTCACCCGGCCAGCTCCTGGCTGCCAGGCGGGCAATGCTCAATTTTCTACGTCACATTCTGGCTTCTCTCCCCCAGCCACCGCCTACCGGTTCCAACAACCCCTTGGAAGGCTGAGGCATGTCCACTCTGTCACCTCAAACTCTGTGTGCCTAGAAGGGAATCTGTCCTCAGACCTTCCCATTGGACGATGTCTACTGCGCTGGGAAACATCTAACTCATCCCCGTGACGCCAAGCCTCACACCTCTCCCCCTGACGATCAGCTCTGCCGGGTGCGCCTTTCTGTTCCCTGGACGCACCAAGTCTCTTCCTGCCTCTCCCTGTTGTGCCCTCTCCCAGGAATGCTCTTCTCCCGGATCCCCACATGCCAGCCCACCTGGTCCCCGTCTCCTCCTTTGCCCCGTGGTGCGTCTCAGTGCCTCAAATAGACCCAGCCGCGTAGCTCAGTGCACGTTTGCTAGCACAGGGACCGCTGGCTGGCATCACCATCACGCCACCCCTGGGTTCAGGCCCGCAGCCGAGGGACCCTCCCCTCCACCTTGCACCTGTCCTCTCCCCTCCTTCTCATCTGCCATCAAAAAAGGCCCTAGGAGTTTCCTCCTTCTTTTCCTCTGGGCACAAGGCTTAACATCTGGCAGGAGGAACTTCCCATATGCATCGTCATGACATCAGGTTATTGTGATTTGATTTCTACTGACTGAAATGAACGGCCCAAGGGCTGGTCTGCAAGCGTGCGCGGGAGGAGGCAGAACAGACGTCATGTGTTGGGGACTCAGCCTGTGGTTCTCGGCCAGAAAGGCAGGGCTCTGCTCTCATTCTGTGTCTGCTTGCTGATTTATTCTCCCTGAGATGTCCGCCCCGGGTGTTGAACGCAGAGAGGGGCGGGCCTCCGCCTGGACCTCTCAGATGTGAGGCAGGCTGGCCCGCGTTTCCTTCTGTCTGCAGAAGGTGCTGATCACCAGTCCCCGGGAGTTGGGGAGCTGCCTGCATCCGTGCTTTGTCTTTGTCAACATCCCTCCCCACAGCCCTGAACAGACACCAGGAAGCTGCTGCTTTCACGTGCAGTCGACACAGTCTGGGTGGAGGGCCCTCGCATGAGATGGCGGATTGAAGGTTTACAGCTATCTCTTGGTGGATGGAGGTATATGCTAACTGTTACTAACACAGGAAATGAAAAGGAATGTAGACATGACAGAACCATACGCGGTCAAGGTGAACAGCCCACCGGCCACAGCCGATTGCACAAAGCGTGGTCACCTGACCCAAGTCGGCCAATCAGCGTCTCCCGTGAGACTTTAGGAGCAAGAGCTGGGAAACTGTCGCCCTCTGGTGGTGAGGCCGTTCCCCGCCCTGTGCACAGAGCCCAGGAAGCTGACCTCATGAGGAAGAGTGAGGGAAAGTGTCAGAGGCAGGGCCTGGGGCGTCAGGGCAGGGTCTCCTGGGTGCACGCTGGCTTTCTGGAGGGCCAGTGCTCCCGCTGGGCAGATGTGATTTCATCCACCCAGAGCGAATGGACCTCTGATGCAGACCCTTCCAAGATGTGGATGACATTATAATGGGATGCTCTGTTGGACAAAAGGATTTCCAGGCTCTGGCTTTTGGTGACAACACGACTGAGTCCCAGGGAAGAACTCGGGAGGTCGTTCATTCTACAAGCGTCGTTGGAGGGCTCGGCCGGTGCCTTTCCTGAAGGGCACGGCTGTGGGATTTGGCTCTATGTAATGGGTAATTTAAAATTTCTCAGCAACTTTCCTTTTTAGCATGACTGGCTTAACAAGCATTAAATCTCAAGGGCTCGGTTCTTAATGTGTCATTGAGCCAAGCAGTGAAATGCCTGGAAAGAAATTAAAATGAGAGAAAATCTTTTGAATGTGGACAAGTTAGAATAACACCCGTCACCTCGGAGCTCCCTGAGGTTGTGAGGGTCTGTTTACAGGGAAGGCTCTGCCGTGTCTGGCCCTCCTGGGCAGGGAGGGGCTGCGGAGATGGGGCACCATAGGATGGCAGTTCGAGGTATGGATGCTGAGGCAGGGTGGCCTGGGTTCAAATCCTGCTCTGAGCCTCCCTGGCTGTGTGACCCAAGGAGAGTTACTTAAACCTCACATTTTCTTCATCTGTAAAACAGGGCTGGCGCCAGGGAGAGAACGAGGCTCATCTGAGTAACGTGCCGGGCTGAGAGCCTAGCTTAACGCACACGCGCGCATCCAGCCACGGCAGTTCCTGCCTTAGCCACCCTTCCCTCACTGCAGAGGACCCCCCCCACGTGTCAGGCCCTTGGGCCCCGGGGATCCTGACACAGATGCGACACAGTCCCTGCCCTCAAAGAGCAGCCCCCACGTCCACTCTGCTCTCCTCCTTGACACCCAGTCTCAGGGTGCAGTCCAGGTGTGGGTGGGAGCAGAAGTCTGTAAGGCTGGGTAGTGGGGGAGGGAGAGAGCTCTGCCTGGAGGAAGGGAGTCCATCGCTCATGAGGAAGAGCACCCTGAGTCCAAGGGACTTGCCCGGGTGCTCTAGGTGACATCAGGGGTCTGAAAGAGGCCACCAACTCTGGATGTCTGAGCGTAGACATGGGCTGAATGCAGACCTTTGGGGTTTTTTTCAGCTTATTTATTTGAGAGAGCGAGTGGGGGAGGGGCAGAGAGAGAGGAGGAGAGAGAATCCCAGGCAGGCTCTGCACTGACAGCACAGAGCCTGATGGACTCCAGCCCACGAACCGTGAGATCATGACCTGAGCTGAAATCAAGAGTCCGACGCTTAACTGACCGAGTCCCCCAGGCGCCGGGGGTCTGCCTTCCCGATGGTGATGGCACAGATGGCGACCGGATTCACTAGGAAACAGCTACCCTGGCTTCACACACAGATACACCAGGAGGCAGAATCACAGGGCGGGGGTGGCGATGATTAATACCAGCAACTAACACCTTCTGGGTGCCCTTGTGTTCTAGACACTGCACACGTATGACTTCATTTTATCCTCCCACGAGGAGGGGCATTACTGGTCTCATTTTACAGACGAGGACACTGAGGCTCAGAGGGGTTTCAGAACTTGCCCATTGTGTGAGTTGGTGGGGAACCAGGATACGTGCTCAGGTGGTCTGACTCTGGGACTCATGCTCCTGTGCGGTGTGGGGGCAGGGTTCCACTCAGGGGACTTAGGACCTGGTGCTTGTGAAGCACTTCCCACACGCCAGGCTCCGGCTACTGCGTGAAGCCATCGGCTCATTCATTCCTCACAACACTGAGAAGGGGGAGGCGGTCTATTCCCATTTTACAGATGAGGACACCAAGGCACAGAACGTGGACATGCCAGGCTCTGTAAGTCCCAGCCTAGAGGTACCAGATCTAGAAGTGGCAGTGGCTGGATTCCAATGGTTTGACCCCTGGCAGCTCTGCTACTCACCTTCCCAGCAGCCAAATCTGAGTGCAAATAGTCAGAAACCCAGCCTTTGGTACCCTCCCTTCTGAGTGCTCGCATACAATCTACTGCAAAGTTCACAAACCAGGGGACTCCTCCCAGCAGATTTTTTTTTTTGACCCACATAGTGGTTTAAAAATAGTATCAATCAGTTGCCAATGTTGAAAAATAATATTGTCCATTTCTGATTTCTCTTCATAAAAGGAGAAGGGAGGGGCGTCTGGGTGACTCAGTCGGTTGAACATCTGACTTCAGCTCAGGTCACGATCTCATGGTTTGTGGGCTTAGGCCCCACATGGGGCTCTGTGCTGATGGCTCAGAGCCCGGAAGCCTGCTTCCGATTCTGTGTCTCCCTCTCTTTCTGTCCCTCCCCGCTCTCTCTCTCAAAAATAAACATGAAAAAAGATTTTTTAAATAAAAATAAAGAGAAAAATAAATCAAAGGGGAAGGGAGATCTGGCACACTGGCCTGGCGTTACCGTATGCCAAAAAGCATTCTGAGCCCAGTAGCGGCCGCCCCCTTCAGGTGGGCTGGCGCTCTCCAATGCGACAGTCCTCACCCTTCCCTATAGCGCTTCCGACACCCAGGCAAGTGTCAAGTGCTCTTTATCATTACACTTGTGTTATTTTTCTGATGCCACAGTTAAGAATAAAGTGAAGCCATTAGAGCCCAATGTCTCCATCAGAGGTCGAATGACAAAGACTAGACTAGAAAAGCCACGTTGCAAGAAAAACGGGCCAAGGGGACAGAAGTCGATGGCAATAACAAATATATCGGGGAGCTTAAGGTGCAGAATGTGTCTTGCCCGTTCTCATTACTGCCACCTCTGTGGCCCCTGAGACAGTGAATTTGTGACCAAGGGGGCTGAGAAGAACCCCCTTGCTTTGCAGATGAGGACACCCTCATCTGGGGGAGGGAACAGAGGTCCATGGAGCGAAATGCGATCATGGGGATCGGCGGCCTGCACTCAGGGACAATGGCACCTGAGTCAGACCGCTTGTCGAGCTTACCTCTGCTGGGTGGCTGGGTGTCACTGGGACCGCTGCTGAGGGCGTCCTTCCTCGGGCCCCTCCTCCCACTGGCAGGGTGCTCTCTGTTGGAGGGCTGATTAAAGATGTCGAAGTCGTCACAGACTGTGGGGGTCACTTTCTGGACTCTCTCCCCAGCGACGACATTCCAGCTGCTCGCTTGCCCTTGCTCACGCCGGGGGCCTTTGTCCCCGAGCTCGGCCTCTTGAGGACCCTCCCGGGGGTCAATGAGGTCATCTGGCGGAAGCCTGCCTTCCCGGTCCAGTGGCTTCTCAGGACTCAGCCAGAGGGGTTTTGGCTTCCTGACCCCCTGCTTCCTGCCCTGCCCTGTGGCGGAAGGTTGCAGCCAGGATGGGGTCTTTGCTGGTGTCTCGGAGGCTTTTCTGCCTGTGAGGTTTTCCAGCTGTTGGATCAGAGAGAGCTCTGGGTCAAGGGGAGGGCATTCCACAGCTGGGCGGAGGGGGGGAGCCCAGGGCATGCCGCCCATCGAGGCTGGCGCCGCTATTAAGCTCGTGTCTTCGTTTAACTTGGACAAATTGTCTTTCCTGCAACGGGGAGGACTCATCTTTTCACCAAACGACTTTCCCTGAAGAGAAACCTTCACATCTACCGCTGCTCCCGCTGGCTGGGAACACTCCCGATCTGTGCCGACCATCTTGCAGGCATCTCTTTCTCCCGAGGGGGCCCTCTCCATTCTTCCCTCCTTCTCGTTCCTCGGGCCAACCAGGACGCTCAGGTCAGCCGGCCCCTCTCCACCCCCTCTGTCCAACGTGCCATCGAAGATGAGATTTTTATTGACATAAAGCTTCATGTTCTTGGCGCCAATGTCAAGATCCTGAAAACACAAAATTTAACAAAAATGAAGCTGCGTGGCATCGGGCTGACGTATCACATTTTGGAAGTGGCAGATCAGAAAGAAAAATGTGGAATGCTGGAAACGAGAGCCTTAAAAAAAAAAAAAAAAAAAAAACCCACAGCACCAGGGATGTTAAATAAGGCGAGTGTCATTTCTGTGTGAACTGTTACATACTTTATAAATCAAAGGACTTTCACAAAGAGACGGCCCCAATTGCTGTCTTCTCACCATTACTCCCTGCTGGGACATTGGTAATAGCCTGCTAATTGGTCTCCCTGCTGCCTGTCTCTCACTGCCTTCCACCTCGACTTCACATTGCCACTGTCTACAAGAGCGGATCCGACCAGACCCAGTCACTCCCCTTCCTGAAGCTGTTCTTGTTTTTCACGGCCTGTTCATTACTGTATGGTTCCTGGGACCCCTGCATCAGGGAAGCCTGATGTGCACATGAAACTCACAGCCCCTGTTTCTACGGGTGTCATATTTCGGGTGCCCTGAAAGCGGAGCCTGAAGCAAGGGTTGAGTACAGGTTGCTTATTTGGAAGCTGTCCCCAAGAGGGAGTTGGGATTGTAAGCTAGGGTGGGAGAAACCCCCCCCGCCCGCCACCGGCGGTTTTTGAGCCGGTCCCGGCTGTCTGCAAACGGGGTTCCATTCCGCTGTGGCACTCAGAAGAACCCACACAACTCAGAGGTACCCCTCCCAAGGTGGAGGCTGGAGTGTCTGTCCACTGACCCCCTGCCCCGCTGCTGACGGCTGCCCCCACCACACAAGCTGAGGCTGAGGGTGGCTTCGGGAAAAGGACCTGAGCAGAAAGGCAGAGCGGTCTGGGAGCACTGGAGGCGGTGCCCTATCAGGGTGCCCGGGGCCTATCCCAGCTCAGCTGTGATCAGAGGGGGGGCCTAGGGGATGTGGTGTGGCGCTGTGCTGGTGACATGTTCTCCAGGTGACTCCTTGGCACGTGGAGAAGCTTACGCTGATGGGAGGAATTCTGAACTCAGCATGACACACGTACGGCGACCTTCACGGAAGGTGGCTGCGCCTCCCCGTCTCCTCCCCACAACATGTCCTACATCATGCAGATATTTAACGTTTCTTTGCTTGTGCTTGAAATATAACCACACCCCCCTCCCACTACTGGCTGGGCTGTCCATTCCTCTTTACAGCAACTTTCTTTAAAAACAGCTTTATGGGTGCTGGGTGGCTGAGTCGGTTAAGCGTCTGATTCTATTTCAGCTCAGGTCATGATCTGGCAGTTCATGAGTTGGAGCCTGGCATCAAATTTTAATAAATTTTAAAAAGAAAATTTAAGAACAGCTTTATGAGAGAATACATACAGTAAACCATGCGTACTTAAAGCGTACAGCTTGATAAACTTTAACCCATGTATACACTACGCTGTATCAGCTTGAACACGTCCATCACCTCCAAAGTTTCCTTGTATCCCGCTTCCCCCCACCCCTAGGAATCCTACCCTCCCTGCTTCCCGCCCCCCCCAACCCCCAGGCAACCAGCCATCAGCCTTCTGTCACTACAGATTACTTGGCATTTTTCTAGAATTTTAACATAAAAGGAGTCATGCATTATTTGGACTGAGTTCTTTCACCCAGCCTAACTGATGTTCAATGCGTTGTGTGAATTCATAGTTGTATTCCTTTTTATTGTGGAGGAGTGGTCTGCTGCAGGGATGCGCCGCAATTGTTCTGTTCAGTTCTGAGGGTCAGGGTCACGGCTGCTCCTCCCCTCCCCTCCCCCTCTTGGCCTCGCTGTTCTCCCTCTTAGGCTGCCCCAGGGCTCAATCCCGGGCCTTGGGATTCCCCTGCACCCTTTCACTAGGTGGCCTCATCCAGGTCCAAGGCCCTAAATACCATCCTTGCATTGAGGACTCCTGATTATTTTATTTATATGATTTCTATTTGTGGACTCCTGATTATTTTAATCTCCACCCCAGAACTCTCCAGCAAGCCACGTGACCTCTCCTCTGGGCTATCCAACAGGAGTCCCAACCTTGACATGCCCCAAACAGAACGCCATCTTTTCTTTTAGAGAGAGAGCGCACGAGTGGTGGGTGGGGGTGGGGACAGAGGGAGAGAGACAGAGAATCTCATGCGGGCTCCACGCTCAGCATGGAACCTAATGCGGGGCTCGATCTCATGACCCTGGGATCACGGCCTGAGCCGAAATCAGGAGTCGGATGCTAGACCGACCAGCCAGGTGCCTGTGCCCCAAACAGGATTTCTTGACAAACCTGGCCTTCGCCCGTCTTATAAATGGCCCCCCATTCAACTGATACCTGACCCTCTGAGTCCTTCGTTCCTCTGCTGTTGTCTCACGTGCGAATCCGGTTTGTCACAAGTCCCTCTCTGCACAGTCACTGCACTCCCACCCCCGACACAAACACACTTGATTGTCTACACAGCAGCCAGTGTTTTTTTTTTGTTTTTTTTTTTTTTATATAGCTGAACAGGTCATGGCAACCCCCTGCTTAAAACCGCCTAGCAATTTCTACTACACTGAGAATAAACTCCAGCGCCCTTCAGTGGCCAACAAGGCCTCCGTGATCTGGCCCCTGCTGGCCCCTGCCACGGCTCCTCCCACGTTCTTCTCCCACTCCCAACACGCCGCTCTGACGGCTACTCCTCTGTCATCCCGCAGGGCTCACGGCCACCTTGGGACCTGTGGGCTGGGCTGGGGCAGCACCTCTCAGACACCGGCAAGGTTGGCTCTGTCCTGTCTTCAGAGAGATCTTCCTGCCCCTCTCCCGAGCCCCACCCTAGCCGGTCCCGTCTCCCATCGTCCTGTTTGATGCCTTCCCTGTCTCTGAAATGGTCTCGTTTATCATCTCTTTAGCTTACACACTATCTCCCCCACTCAGATTTCAGCCCCAAGACAGTGGAGGCCCCACCAATCTCATCCAAGCACCCAGCAGGTAGCTGGCCCGTGGCTGGCACTCAACACCGACTTTGGAACTAAAAATGCACAAGCACACATATTTTTCTCCAGGATGTCACTACTCCCTGACAATGTTCCGAGAACAAATCTGATCGGGGGGAAAAGAAAACAAAAAAACAAATGGTGGCCTGTTGTTTCGCCACTAGATTGTTTCCCACCTTGCTTTGGCTTCTGATCTGCTTTTGAGATGTGGGATCTGAGACCCCAGGGGTGTCCATCTCCACTTGTCCCCCCCCTCGGCTCCCTGAAGCTGGGTTAGTAAGCTCTAACGAAACGTCTCGATCACCAAGCTAGAGGTGCCGCAGCAATTTAGAACGAGGCCCATCGGGCCCACGTTACACCACAGGCACCCGGCTTCAATCACCCAACTGCAGGACAGCAGGCTGCTATTTGCCGACTGTCAGAAAAGCCGATGCTAAAACCACTCTTTTACGTGGTTATATGGATGTGCACTCTGTTTAGCGGAGCCACAGAGCATGTGCGTGCTGTGAATTCATCCGGAGATAGTGATTCGAGGGGGGCAGCACGGCAGCTGCAGTGACTGGTTCTGCACAATTGCTACCATGCAAGCATCTGGTGGCAAGAGGCGATGGGGTGGTGGGGAGAGGCCTTCCGGGGCGGCGTGGCCAGGAGGTGGGGACCCCGGCTCTCATGATGAGATGGCTGGCTTGCCGAGCATGCTCGTGTACATTCCGCCACCAGCCTGACACCGCCCGGCCTCTCCCAGGAGTCTGGCGGAGAGGGGACAGGAGGAGGAAAGCAGGTGCGCCGTCGCATGCCCTGCAGGGGCCAGGGGGGCGGGACACAGATGCGCTGACGTAGAACCTCAGGGCGCGATGGGGAGGGTGGTGCATGAGGAGCTGGGAGGCTCAGGCCTGGCCTGATGGTGCTTAAATCTGAGACCTTTCCGACACTCCGCAGGCCAAACAGGGAGTATCCGTGGGTAGATTTGGCCCAAGCATCACCGGAGTGGGCTCCCTGGCAGAGAACCAGGCCATGTTCACTTCTTGGGGGGTTCCAAGGATGAAAAAAATAAAAGGCTGCATCATCTCACGCAGCCCTTGGAACAAATCCGTACGGCGGGCATTAGGACCCATCTTGCAGATGAAGGCACTGAGGCTCAGCCTTTCTGGAGGTCACACAGCTCGTGGGTGCATGGTAAGCCACTCTGGCTGGCATCTCCCTTGAGGTCAAGGGAGACCCAAAGAAGGTCTGGCCACCGGCAGAATCCCCTGCACTCGGGGGAAGCTCTGACTCCACTTCTAGTTTTTGCTAAGTCCCCACCCTGGCTTCCTCCTCACCCCCAGGGGCAATCACCGTGGGCACGGGTGGGGAGTGCGTGCACACGTCCTTGCAGATTTTTTTCTCCATATCTATGTACATGCTGATGTCCCCATCACTCCACCTCAGGGGCGGGGTTAGACACCACGAGAGATGTACGTGTGCGGCATGGGGGATTCTGCTTGTCCCCGTTCCTTGGTGCCCCCGCAGTCAAGCCCTGTACGTGGTGTGTCTTTGAGCGTGGACACGTGGAGAAGATTCTCCTGCTTCTATAGAACCAGCCTGCTTCCTCCCTTTCCCATAAAGCAGCCCGTTAGTGCTGACTGTTTCCCACTTTGGCCTGGCTTCCAAGACGTCCAGGGTGAAATTCCTCTTACCCCGTTCATCTGTGAGAGCTACACACGTGCGCATGTGTACACTTGTTTCCTTGGCGCTCATCTTTTCTTCCTAGATTAACTAGGTTACCTCCAAGCTCTCGCTGATGCTGCCTCAAACCCCTTCTGTGGTGGGTTTTCAAGAAGAAGCTTCGTGAAACCCTGTGGCTGCATGTGGCTCATGGGAACGTGAACCACATCCCAACCAGATCGTCTTTCTGTATCTTCCTTCTCTATAGGTGCCAAGGACCAACCATGTTGAGATGGCCACACATTTTTAATGCATCAGCATTAATATTATTCCAACCAAAGTAGTTTACCTGGCTCTGTGTGGCCCCGGTGTCGAGTGACATGTCCCTTCCAAGAAGCGCACA